CCTCTTTGGTACAGGATCATTGCGAGAGCATTGCAAGACCAAAGCTATAGGTAAAATTACTATTTATTTTATTTTGAGGTTTACTGGATTAAAGAGAATTGAAATTTAATAGATGAGTTGATCAAAAATAAAGCAACATGCCCAAATGCCTGCTATTAATATGTATTTGATATTGCTTTATTAGAGGTTTTCAAAAAAAAATACACACACAAAATGTCTAAACAGTAGGTAGTTATACTATCATAGAATCATAGAATGCTTAAGGTTGGAAGGTACCTCTAGAGGTCATCTAGTCCAACGCCCCTGCACACGCAGGGTCACCTAGAGCACGTGGCACAGGGTGGCATCCAAACGGGTTTTGAAGATCTCCAGAGGAGGAGACTCCACAACCTCTCTGGGCAGCCTGTTCCAGTGCTCAGCTAACTAATTTTGAAAGTAACCCTGATAATGTGCTATGAGTATCAAAAGTCAGGATACATGATTGATGTCAGTGAAACACCTTTTGTGTCCTAAATTAGCTTTTCATGGCTGTTCCATTTCATACCTTCTTATGCTGTATCCTGAATTGCAAGATGATGCTTAACTGCTTATATGAACAAAAAAGTATAATTCATTTTAAAAAGTCTACTCAAACCTGTCACAAATTGTATTTTTATCATTGTTCTCATTTTTGTAAAATTTCTGTGCCTTTGGAATATTGAAGCACTTTATTGACACATTTTTTACTTGTATGTGCAATGCCTATAGATTTCAATACAAATTGCTTGGGCATAATAAATAGTATTATTTAACAGACTTTTGGTTTAATTCTACATTAAGAATCTTCAGAATACACAAGAAATATGTGATGGTTTATCAACTTCATCATAATGCAAAATATTGGTTATATTAGTAGACTGATGACAGCATTGCTATACATTGGAAGATGGACAATGATGGACAATGGGTGGAAAGGTTGTCAAAATATTAAGTCCAAATAAAATGATAAAATAGACTTAAAATGAAACTTAAACAAGCAAAACTAAGAACAGTATTATATTGAGTTCAAATAAATCCTTTTGAAAAATCTCTGTATAAAATTCACTATATCATGAATAGGGGCCTGGGAACTTAGGTAAAAAAATAATTCAGATTTGGAGATGTCAAATTATACTTCTTTTATTTTTAGAAATAAAGTACATTTCCTTGAATCAACTCAACAGTGCACTGCATGTACTTGGGATTTTAACACTGCCCAGATTGTTATTCAACTGTCTCTTTGGATTCTGCTCCTGGGCTAAACTACCGCTATTTCACAGTATAAGGACAGAAGTCCTTCATAGAAAGGTCAGTCTAGTGAGGGAGAACAATACAGAGAAGAATGATAAATTGAAGAAATGGTATTATAACTCTCACAAGATCTGACATATATTATTGCTATGTTAAGCTGCAGCTATGTAACTGAGTATGCAGCTATGTATCTGACACATGAAGTAATTTCAGCCTGGGATGCCTTGACTTTTTAAATCAACACATTTTATTTCAATTTATTTTTCTCCCACCCAAATAACAGAAACAAAACTGAGATCTTAATTTTAAGGAAACTACATTTCCACTGATGAAAACAAACAAACAAACAAAAACACTGAGCCATTCTACTCATAACATGATGATCCAAATTGTCATTTATTGTATTGTTTCAATACTATTCAGGAATTATTACAACTGAAACGCAAATATCTCTATTTAGGAAAACTCATGTAAAACTGTAGTATTAATTATGTTTTAAATATAACAAAAATGATTAATTTTTTCCTCGGTAGAGAGGACCATTCAAATTGTGCAGCTATGTAAATTCAAGCAAAACCATAGATTCTTCTGGATTTTTGCTTAAATTGTGGGGTCTATTCATATTGCAGGTAGTAGGTCCTTCTCACAATAGTTAAAACTCTATTTATTACATGTTTATTACCACAGAGTCAAAGCAGAATAAAAGAATAAAAGACTGCAGTCCAAATTAGATGCTGTTCCCAAGATAATAAGAGATCCTCAATCTGTGGCACTTATTGCTTCATTGGCAATATACTGCTTATGCCACAAAGATCTTGATAAGCCTGTGTAGAACTGTAGGATCCTGCTCTACAAAACCCAGATAAAACAAGAAATCCATAGACTTGATGTTGCAAGCTGTCCACACTCTAATATGAATTTTTTGCTTGAATGGTTATGGCGAAATTGATATCACTATTCATATATTCCTATATGATATCACTTCATTATTCAACAACATAATTTAAGCTAGACAGCAAATAGTCTTCTAAATAACAAATGAAGAAATAGAAACTAAACTAGTATCAGTTAGTTACAATTAAACTATATGCTACTTTTTGATAATAAAACTAGAAAAAGAATTTGCACAGAATTTGTAATGAACTATTTGTTCACATCTTCAAAACGTTTTTGTTCTGCAATTTGTAGTAACATAAAAATGTACTTATCTCACTAACAAAATACTTTTAAGAAGCTTTATATCCGTTACAAAACAATTGAAATTATTATTCACAAATGCACTGGAAAGGCATTGGGAGATAATATTGTGATTCCTGTTTGACAAGTGAGAAACCAATATTAAAAAAATTTAGAAATCTTTCAAGATATTTTATTAAATAACAAGCAATTGTTATTTAAAAAGAGTTAGTAAAAGTCTTAAAAAAAGCAATAACCCTGCATAGCAAAAGTAGTTCGAAAGTAGTTCTATTTTTATTTATTTATTCCCCTTTCTATTTCTAGACATGCAAGGAAACAGAGTTAATTCGAACACTCATGCACCACATAACATTCTTGTTCAACAGGGTAACAGCAAATTCGTCATGTGCCCCTGAAGCCTACTTTTATAACCTAGGAGCACAATAAGGAAAAATATTCCAGATCTGCAAAAGATGATTATGTATATATTTACATAAAACCTCATTTTATTTTATTTTTTTTACATTAAGGACCACCTCTAAGTGCCTTGGCTATATTTCAGAGGCTTTCTAAATGTACAGTAAACTATAAATATTTCAGATATTAACTTTTTTTGTGTAGATAGGTAGTTAGTGAAATAAAAAGGAGCTTGTCAGCATTTTACCAAATTCCAGCCCAATTACCCTGACTTAAAAGAATTTACCTTTGTATATTAGTACCCATATTCCTCCTTGAAAGAATGTTTCCAGAAAGCATACTTACAGTTGAATACAGCATATAGAACATAATTCCACTGAAATAAATGAAATTTAAGTGATACTTAAGATAATCAAGGCTACAGGATGAAGCAGAAAAAAAGGACCCTTTCTTGAGGTAACCTTGGATTTCATAATGACTTTTAGGGAGCACTGGTGTCAATGGCTATAATATTGACTCAAAAGGCACCAAGGATTGTCTTTGACAGCAAATCTAGTGACATTTATGGAAGCCTTTTTTTTTTTTTTTCCTTAAGAAAAAAAAAGCAGTTCTTTCCTGGCATTGGACTTCAAAACTTGACATCCTGTTCTTCTGAAATGAGTTAGTCTGGATATAGAGCTAGAAGTTTCTTCTCCATTTTTGTCAGGTGGCAAGTTCACAAACAACTTGCATTGTGATGGAAAAGTAGTACTGATTTTGTGATCTAGCAAAATAAGGCAATCCCTCTGTATACTTCTATTTTATTTACACTGCAGCATTGTTTGTATATTATACATATAGTACAGAAATAAAAGGCGACATATACTATATTTCAGTATTTTGTTCCTTCAGGTAGTATTCTAAAGCATGTTAAAGTATTACAAGAATAACAGAGTCCAGCAGAGCTGTTGTTTGTGGGATAATTAACACCAGATTTAATTAAGATTATAGAATCATAATGACTTTTTCAATTTACACATTAAAATAATTATTCAGAATATCAATGCAAAATACATTGGCATGTGAAATAATAATTCCCTTGCACTGTGTATGAGTAATTTTTTATTGTATCATTGCCAAGTACTTTTTTTCTTTTCATGAAGGCTTGCAGCTACCTGTATCACTATTGTATTTGCTATTGCCTCTCCACAGCACAAAGCTTCTAAGGCATTATCATCTTGCCACTACTAGAGAATAAAATCAATATGGTATATTATACTCCTTATAATATACTCACACATTTTAGACTTGAACAATAATCATAGTTCGACAAAAAAATAAGAAATAATCAAAGAAAAAAAAAACCCTGTTTTTCACTGCAGTCCTTTTAGATTTAGTTATGGTAGTAACAGTAATGGAGAAAGGATGAAGCAAACAGCCTCACAGGTAACAGGGTCAATTTTGCAGCACCACCTGCAGTGAATTACTAGTTAAACTTCACTGTGGTGGCAACAACATGACAGTTCTGATATACTTGTTTTACTGAGAACATTTTGCTGAGAAAACTATGAAAATGTATCACATTTCTGATTGCTATTTATAACTATTGCTGGTAGTAGCAGGAATCATCTAAAGTAAGATTTTGTAAAGCACTTTTAATTACATTCAATGGAAAAGGATGCATCAGAAAGTGCTTAATTAATCATGTGTTAACTAATTATTAACCATACTCCTTTCCTGTGTTGTCAGGAAATCAGATTCTCTTGGAAGATCACTCACCAGTGCAGCATTTTAACACTGTTTCATGCAGTGTTGGCTCAGGCCAACCCAGACATGTGCCCATTGGTCCCCTCTCCCTGCTTGGTCCGATAATCAGTGCTTTCACCAAAAAAACACAATTATCAGTTTGCACATTTTTAACTGTTACCAGAAGAGAGAGAGATAAAGAGAGCGGAAAAAAAAAAAAAAGATATTTTAAACTAACCTGAACTTTACCCTCCCTGGCCAAGTTCCGCATTTGCCTTTGAAACCAGGTACCCTCATGAGAATCCTCCTCAAAGAAGACTCCCCAAAACTGTAGCTGTTGTTTATCAAATTTTACTTAACAACACTGCCCAGAGTGGCAGTCAGTGAGGACTGGCAGCCCTATAGGGGCTGGCTCACTGGCTGGAGTACTGCACGGTGCTGTACTTGGTTACCCGGCGCCGCGAGGTACCAGGGGAGGCTGTGCCCAGGGGCTGACCCAGGTGGCACTCAGCAGCGTTCAACATCTGGGATGCTTCCCTCATACCACCCATGCTGGTTCCACTCATGCTGGTCATGCCCATGCTGGCCCCAGCCATACCAGCTCCACCCATACCACCCATCGCAGCCCCCGACATCACTCTCTCCGTGACCACCACATTGTGGGCGTTGGACAGCTCGGCAGGGATGTTGATCAAGCTGCCAGGCATCCCAGACGCCGGCCTGATCACCCTTTCCGTCACCACCACGTTGGACCCATCGACAAGGTCAGGGATGCTCAAGGAGGTCGGAAGTCGGGAGTTAGGTGCGATCACTCTTTCTGTGACGATGACGTTGGACCCCTCGGCGAGGTCAGGGATATCTAGCATGCCACGCAGATCGGAGGCAGAGGCTGGCCCCACCACCCTTTCAGTGACGACGACGTTTGATGCACGTAGAGGATCGACACTAAGGGAGGGTGGGCCAGAGGTGTAGGTCTCAGTCACCATCACATTGCCATGGAGCAAAGGATCGGACATTGGCCTGGAGGGCTGCAAGGTGGACCCGGTGTAGGTGTTTTCAGTAACAATTGTTGTAGTACCAACTGGGGGAGGCATTGGAGCACCTCCGTTGACAATGATGGTGGTTCCAGGTGGCGGAAGGTTTATTTCACTTTCAGGGTTGGGAAAGGTAGCATTACCAGGTGGCCATGGCAGGTTAACTTCGGAAAAAGTTTCAATTTCTTTGCCCAGACAGATCTCTGCCAGGGTTTTAAATTTTGGTCCTAATGTATCCAAATACGTTTCATCTGTATCTTCTCCAATAAAACTGCAGCAACCCACAGAGCCAACAGGAGTGCCTACTCCTTCATGATCGTATATCAGTAGACAGTCATTAGCTGGACGACCTTCATCTTCATCTGCATACACAAATGCTTTCTGTAGTTTGGAAAAGCAAACAAACAAAAAATAGAAGAGAATTACTTTTCTTTAGATTTTCAGCTTTATCCCTAGTGAGATTGGGATCTTGAAATAGACTTGAGAAGCAAGACCAACCAATAGGATTAAAAAATAGCAACAGTGACCTTGAAGTAAGTCCTATTTCTGATCTTTTATTTTTTCTTTTGCAAACACTTAGCAGCTGAAATTTTGTTTAAAAGAAGCACTACAAAAAACTTGGGGTTTTGCTTAACATTTGGGCAGTAATTTTCATAGAAATGTCCTACTTTTCTGCCTTCAACCTCTCTAAATGATAAAATGAAACCTTTTTTCAGGTACAGAAATTGTCATCAGAGCAGGATCTTGGAGAGAGAACCTGGGGGCATCATGAGCACAGCCATCCAAGGCAGCCAAGGAATAGCACAGTACCTGGCTGTCAACAGTAGGCTATGGGTTGAAGAGCGAATGCAATCCTTGGGCAACAGTACCCGGACATAGAGATAGGAAGAGGAGCAAAGCAGGGAGGTGAGGGAACTGCTGGGGGCCCTGCATGGTAAAGATGGGTCTAAGGGTTGGGTACAGTAGGGCATGTTTGGCAAAGCCAAAAGGATCATTCATTTGCGATTGGTGGATTTTTGCAGGTGATCACATAGTATTCCCAGCCCAGGCAGAGAGATCCCAATCTGGAAGAAATCTATTTCAGGACTGCTCTACTCCCTCCACCACTACACCTTTTTTTTTTATTTTCATATTTTGAAATATAGTAGTCCTTAAATATTAATTGATATTTTGATGACATATGAAATTATTATATTTATGCCTTATGGTTCTTGCTAAGCAAGAAAACTTATCCGTTAATCATGCAAATACCAGAGCACCTTTTCTGTCTTACAAGTAAAAGTCTGAAAATTACAGAACTGAATAGCTGTGTCATTTGCAGTTTTCATCTATTTTTCTAGACAGAAAGAGCAATGAATAAAACAGAAGAAAGGGCACATATATTCACAATTCCTTGAAAGTTAAAGTCCCTCTTTAAGTAATCTCTAGGCAGTTCAATTTGCAAACAGCTTCAAGTAAGGAATATTTTCAATGTTATTATCCATTTATACAGTGCAAAAGGTGATAATTTTGATGGTCATTTATTAAGCTGGGATAATTTAATAACTTGCTACTAATTTTGCTTATCAAATATATTATGCCAACATCTGAAAAGCAGTATTTTATGAATACATTCAATATTACTATTAATATTTTTTTTCAGATTAGTACAGTCTGTCTGTCTCTCATACCCATTTCAGAGGAGTTATTTTGAATTTTGTAACCTGGAAAGGAGAATCTACCAGTAGACTCAAGAGCACAAAGAAATTAGGCTAGTTACCTCAGAGAAGTAGTTGTCTAGGAAGGCCATATTCACCCCTCCTTCTCGATACTCTTTTATTGTTCCTCCACATGATCCTTTTGCTTCCCCTGTTCCAGAAATTCCTCCAGCTGTTCCATAGCCAGTACCAGTACCATAACCAACTGCTGTAGTGTCTTCAACACCAGATGCTACTACTCCTCCTCCCCCATATGTGTTTGTATATATTTCTGAAAATGAAAAAAAAGTCATCCTTCCTATATTCTGTGATTGTTACAAAGAATTTTCTAGTTGTTTTTATCAATAATGTAATGATCCCACTAAGCTTCTGAAGGTATTTTAGAGTAATTTTCACGACAGATTCACACACATGTGTTAAAAGTTGAAACCACAACAAGTGAGGTGCATACTTATAGGGGAGTTCATTTATTTTACGCATGAGGTGAGGCATGCATTTGCACATATCCTTTAGAAAATCAACAATTCACTTGTGTAATTGGCTGGAGAAATTCCTCTATCTGGTTGTATGCTGTCATGAGATTTGTATTAGAACAGCAGTAAAAGCTTATCGATACTTATGAAAACATAGAAATTCACGTTTATGATCACACTGGGGTTAAAAGAGTTGCCTAAACTTTTCAGTAAAAGAAACAGCCTTGTAGTCACTTTCACATTTCCCAGTTGTTATAAAGCCAGGGGATTTGTGGGAACAGCAGCTGATCACAATAGCTGCCAGTGTTTATAATACCAAATGAAATTATTCTTTACAAAAATATGAAATCATATCACAGGATTTTATCTTATGCAGAATTTTTCATATTTGATAATAAAGAATAAGTTGTCTTAAATATCAATGTATAATATATTAAATTAATTGAATTCAGTAGTTTTGAAAATGATTGTATTAAGAACTATTGGCCACATTCTATCATCTTTTCTCATTTAACCTTACTAGTATCAGCTAATCTAATTTTAACCAGAGGCTCTTGTTGTAGCAGTAGAGATAAAAATGGAAATAAAGTAAATAATAGAGTGAATTACAAATATCAGTCATAAACTTTGCAGTTTGCCATGCTTGCATAACTTCCCTGGCAACAAATATTCTTAATTCACATTTATGCCTCAAGTGTTTTGTTATCTTTGTTTCATTTTAAGGATAAAGATATTTGTGCCAATACAAAATTCATTGGAGAAATTGTCTTGCCATCCACCATTTCTTCATGTGAACTCGGTGAGAATGGATTCTGAGTCAACTGGAGACTTAGTCTCCAGTGAGAATGGATTCCTGTTGTGGTGTAATATATGAGGAAAAGAGAAAGCGGTACCGTCACCATTTCTATGGCATTGAATTTCTGGGACCTTATATCCGGAGCATAAATTTATTGCAGTGTATGTCAACTCTCTGTCTAGGGTGGTGCAGGGAGTAATTGCCTGGCTCCCTGTTCTCCTTTGAGTTAAGCAGAACTTGGAAACTGGGAAGAACTGAAACTTTCATTACTGAGTTATGAAAGAAAAGTTTTGTTCTCCTGGCCTTGAGATTGATTTCTGCTTAAACTGATGTGTTGGAAGAACCTAAATTCACTGTCTGGAACTGTCAAGTAAAATTGCCTGAGATTTGAAAGCCCTGGCAAATATTTCAAAATAAATGCAGTTTGCAGAGATGAATCTGTCCATATTCCAGGTTCAAACCTCAGACACATACTGGGAAGCCCAGCTAAAATGAGTTTGACTATCTACACAAGTAATATTGGAAGGGATGCATTCTAGCTTGGAAACTGAAATACTTTATGAGCCAGATCATTAAGTGCTGAAAGATAGCTTTGTTATAGTGAACAAACAAAATCTTAGGATCTGCTTACCAGAGGGTTCACCAAATTCACCTCCAGCAGCCGTTGTTGGAGCAAGAATGTGTGAGACATCCTGGAAAACAATAGTTTGACTCCTTGAATAATGAACTTTGAAATTCTCATATGAAAACCAAAAACTGTTAAGGAATTACCACTAAATCACTAACTACTGCTCTGGGCAGTTGTTGATGACCACCTCTGTAAGGAGACTCCATCCAAGTCTGTTTCATTGTCAAGTGATCAGTGAGGATGGTTTGCATTATCTTGTCATATCTTGCATTGAAAAAGTTTGCTAGTTACTGTGTCTCAGCTCAGGGAGCAGTAAATGCCAAAGTGTTGGGCCAAACTGAGCATAGCAACTCAAAACATATCTTCAAATGTTAATTAAGAATCACCTTTCATACCTTCTTGGCAATGCTAGACAATGCCAGGCTTCTTTTAGAAATGGCACCGTGTTACAATCATCTTGCTTCTAGTCCAGATGCATTCTATACTGTAAATATAAATGATCGTGGGCTTTAGAAACATGAGATGTACTGACCCTGTCTTCAGGCTGTGCACCTTCTATTCCCCATGGATGAATTGCCCCTTCTGTGCATTCAGGTACAGGTTCAAATCCAGTCCCAACTCCACCTGCAGCTCCAGGTCCACAGCCACAACAGTCGCTCATTGACATCAAAATTGGAATCACTTAGTAGGAAAGAAACAGGAAGCAGGTATTTAGGCCATCTCTTCTTCACAGGAATAGCTCTTTTTTTGCAGAGAGTAGGCACTTAAGAATTTTTAAAAATATGTCTTAAAATGTTTCAAAACAAGTAGCCTAGAAGTCTTGTTTTCAGAATCATTGGTTGCTTTTGAAAAAAAAATACATATATTTATATATTTATATATATAAAAATATTTGGATAATTGGAATATTTTCTGCCCTTAGTTACAGTAGAGCAGAAGTGGGGTGGAGAAGATCTGTTACTATAAATGTATGCCTATACACCTGGGAACAGACTTTGATCTATCTCAGCTGGATGAATTTAAGTTGCAGATATATGCAAATGAAACAAACAGAACCAGTCCTGCTATATACAGCATCCAGTAATATTTTTTCTTGATATATCAGCATGATTTTTTTTTCTTTTCTTACTGTAAAATGCATTTTAATGATAGTAAACTTATGAGAATGGAAGGAAAGATTTTCATTTGACTAAGGTGATTTTTTGCTTAGGCTCCATGCATTTTTCACATCACATATAGTCAATGTGAAAAACAACAGTGCCAGATACTAAACCACAGTTTTAACAAATGATTAAATAAAATAAGTTAGGTTTCCTAATGTGCTATATTATGCTTAGTTCTCTCAGTAATATTAGTGCTTGGAATTGCTGAGTACTTTAAGTACATCAAATATACTTAAAATTCATCAAATTCAAATGATATCAAATTCATTTTAGGAAGAAACTGAGATATTAATTCTGGCAGGCTTTATACAGCCTAGACAGCTAATTTAGTAGCCTGCTATTATTGCAGATTGTGGAAAGACAGTTGCCTACAAGAGCCTGTAAGATAGTACCACCAGAGCATAGTGGACTGCAGAGGAAAGAGGAAGCTATAAAGTCTACAAAGTGCTTCCTCACACTGGGAAACTAAGAACATATTTACTCTAGAAGCTACTGTTGGGAGAAGAGACTTCCAAAGTCCAAAAGATGATTTGTAACATTCACTGAACTGAGAAGAAGAAACAAAACAGCTTGAAAATTTGCAGCTTCATTTTTTTTTTTACTGCAGCTTCAAAATCTTATCTTTGCTGTTCCGCATAAATCAAAGACCAAATAAAACAAAATCAAACAAAACAAAGTTAGTAGAGAACACACATTCCTCTGGTTGTTGTGGTCAGTATTCCTGTATTGGGCAGATATTCTTTTCTCTGAAATTATTATTTCTTGATAAATAATAGGACAAGAGAATGAATGATCTGTTCTGATCCTGTTATCACAAGCTCTACTTATATTTAATTGAAGTCAGGGTTGACAGAAGGTTCTAAAAGATTTAAAATCTAAAAAGCTTTATTTTTGTACACCAGAAATTTGGCTTTGTCTTCAAAGTAATCTTGCTCTTTTTGTTTCTTTTGTACCCAACTTAAAGCTTGTAGCAATGTAACAGAAGTACAGCAAACTGCTACATGTAGGTTCTACCATCAATAGTGACAACTCTTGCTCAGTCTCTTCTGAGTCTTTTATTAAACTTTCTACCCTGAATGAATTAGTATTGATTCTTATGAGAACTGGATAAAGCTTTAGGAAAAACTCTAAATCTTAGGAAGGAAATAATTGTTTCTGAATGAAGTGTGTGTAATATCACACACATTACATACATATAATATATGTTATATATATATAATGCTATATATGTTTTGTATGTGGGTATATTTTAATACAGATACGCAAGTAAAAAATATATACTATACAAATATGTATGTATATTCTTTTAAAATACAGAAAAAAAATCATTAAAAAAAAATTCCCACTCTGCAAAGTGCCCCTGAGAGTCCCAGTTTAACAACCCAACAGGTATATTTATTTTAAAAGAATAAAATACATATTAATATTTTAGAATTTTGTTAAAATAGTTTTCCTAATTTTATACTTACAAACAAATATTAATCCACCGAGGAACATCAGGCCAATAGCAGTACCGCTAAGTGTGGTAGAGGATTGAGCGTCTCTGCCATAGCCTCCTTCATAACCTTGACCAGTCCCTCCATTATATCCTTCTTCATAAGTTTCGCTGTATCCACCATTGTAATTGTCCCCATCTTCACTTCCACCACCCCCAACGTAACCTCCTTCATCACCACTCTCACCAGCATTGCCCTGTTGGCCTGTTCCTTGATCTGTTTGACCTCCCTGGCTTCCTCCACTAACACCACCACCGCCAGCACCGCCACCACCAGCACCGCCACCGCCAGCACCTCCAGCACCGCCACCGCCAGCACCGCCACCGCCAGCACCGCCAGCACCACCACCGCCACCAATGATAATTATTTTTGTGGCCCCACTGGTGCAGTAATTGCGACTATCACACCGACAAGCTTGCAGAGGAATTATATGTGGTCGTGGGCAGCTTCGGCCTTGGTTATCTCTAATATTGACATAGATCTTATAGAAGAAAAAGTCAATGTTCTGACCCACTAGTTCTGCAGAGGAAGCTTTGGGAGAAAACAGAAAAGAATGATTTAGGTTAAGGTGCTAACTTTAAATACTGTACAAGTCTATAGTTTTTGTGGATAATGGTCATAGTGTAGAATGACGAGTAAGTTTTCTCATTTCAAGATCTTCAATTACTAAATAGAATTTTCAACTATAAAGCTGAAATCTACTGTCTGTGGTGCTTTCTTGTTTTCCTGTTTGTTTCTTTGTTTTAGAAAGCTTGAGCCAGATAAGTTTAGCCATCTTTTTAGTCATCATGTTTTATACCTGAGAAATATAAAGGGGCAAATGCACCTTTTTTAATCTGTTACAACATATCCTGATTTATATTTCCACAGAGGAGTACATAGATATTGCATGTTATTTCCTTACATTTCTTTTTCTCTCACAGGGAGGTTACATGATAGCTATGTTTGCTATATGATTACATGCATATGACTTTTTTCAAAAGTTTTTTTTATAGTGTAAAAATATTTAAAGTTATATATTTACATCTGCTTAGAAAAGATGGGACTTGCAAAAGTGATTAAAATTGAAATATTTAACATGTAATTGTCTACTGTGCATACAGTAAGTTATGCAACTTCTGACACTTAGTAACATATGAGATTTGATTATTTCATTCAGTTAATTAAGTCTTATCAAAATGAATGAGAAAAGCTCCACTAGACAAAGGCTAAACCTTTTTTTTTTCTTATAATTACAAGCAAATACATAAATTAGAAATACTGTAATCTTTATTTGACATTTTTATATTCTTCTTTCTTAAAAGGAAGCTCTTCAGACTAGGAATTGATGACATTTTTACTCTAATTAATAGATCAGAGTATCTTCTCACATGCTCTGATTTTTTTAGTATATAATACAGAAAGAAAACAAAAATCTAATTACTCCTTTTGAATTACCTCATTAGCTTTAGACCAAGGCTTATTAGAGTTATACTCTAGTAAAATCTTTGCTGCTCTATCTTTACCAGCTATTTTCATTTTCCTTAAAAAATAAGAACTAGAACAAATACATTTAATGATTTTAGTATGATTAATATATAAGTATAAATCCAAAACAATTCCATTTTATTCCTTAGATACTTATGAGTGCAAAATCATATTTAAGTAAGGTTAGTTTAGATCCTAGTAACTGCTTTTTTTGATATTTGTATTATTATTTTAGATAATCCTTAATTGCTTATCTTAGATAACAGTTCGTTTCTGTGATTTACTCTATTATAAAACTTAGTTTAATTTACCGTTTATTGATCTGATAATCCATGTAGTTTGAGGTTCACCATGTATGCTGAATGTAAAGGGAGGGCCATACTGCTCACTATCCATATCCTTGGCAGTGATAACCACTGATGGAGAATGCATACATACTTTCTTTATTTCTGTATTAGTAGTCGGACAATTATCATTGACATCTTGTACTGAAAGCACAATGGTACCAGTAGCAGTGTGTCGAGGAAAACCTGTAAAAAGAAGGTTCTTGTAATCAGGAGGCAAAAACATAATATAAACAATGCTACTTAGGTGGGAAAATTGAAAAAAAAAAAGAAAAAGGAAAAAATAGAGAAGTATGAAATAAGAGAGCTTTGTTCTGGAAAAAGTTGGTACTTTTCTTACCTTTTACCTAAGAAATAACTTTCTTACCTTTGCTAACAGCCCAGACTTCTGCTCTGTATTCTCCATTGACTACATAGGAGGATTCCCGATCAATAACTTTGTTCAGTGTGATTTCACCAGTGTTTGGATTGATCCTGAACCACGCACCTGGATCACGTCCTATACTATATCTGTATTTGGTGAAAAAATGTTCAGAATTATTAATATGAAACAGCTGAAATCATACAGACTCAGTTATTTGGATGGAATAAATTAGTCCAGTTAACATTGACATTATATGCTATAGTGTTCTACTACCTACTAATTTTGTAAGTAATAATTGTTATTTTGGAACATTTTTCTTACTCTGCACTAAGTTCCATTGCATTTTTCTTATTCAAACAAAATTCCTGGAGACTTCAGAAGATGTACATCAGAATAACAATTTAAAAAGCAGCTGTATAGAACAATATTTTACAAGTGATATCATAGTGTAAAAGTAACATAGGCCTGACACTTTTTTATTTGTTTTGTATATAAAAAATAATTGTTCTTATATAAAATAAAAAATGCATATGTAAAATACAAAAATAATTGCCAAATCATTTTTATTAAGTACAGATTGAGGTGGTAGTGATTTTATCTATGTGTATTACACAAAATTGCCCACTATGGGGGTTTTCTGTTTGCTTCTTTTAAGTTGCTAATAAGTTCACTTGTAAAAAAAAAAATCAAATTTTGTGAAAAAACATGAGAAATATTTTGTTCTGATTTACTTATCATGTGCCTAATCCTAAGAAAAATATGGTAAGACAAGTAATCATTTTATGCCATTATCATGGCATAAAATTATACAGAAGACTATTTTCTATTGCTTATTTATTAGCAATTTTTTTTTCTTTTTTTAATGTATCCTCCATAAACTCATATTCTGCTTCCTTGGCTGGAATAGAGAGTGCCTTCTCTTCTGACTGAAATCTCAGTTATAAAAATTATTACATCTGGGGAGTTAAGTAGAGAAAACATTACATTAAAGCCTTACATGACATTTGATGCCATAGTCCCAGTGTCCTCATCAAAGGCTGTGTATGTTCCGACAACATGACTCTCTCTTGCACTTTCTGATAAAAGAAAACTGATTGTAGATGGATTAAATCTTATTGGTTCCATCACATTTTTTACTTCTACTATGAGAGGTGTTCCTACAACTTGGTACTGAGGTGCAATAGAATGGTGAAAGGGAGCTCGGTTTCTGACGCCAATACTCAGTGTGTGACTTTGGATGTGTTCATAATTCAGTTCCTGAAAGATTAAACACAGACAAATAAAAAATACTAAATAAAGCTACTGGACTTAAATTTTATTAAATATGATTTGTTAAATGGTTGAGCCTTGATACTTCTGTTGACCCATTTAAAAATTGTTTTTAATTATTTAAATTATTTTAAGCTGATTAATTAAATGGCTGAATAACAATATTTATTCATACCTTAATTACTCTAAGGATTCCTTGATTTGTGGTTGGATCTGTAACAATTTCAAAGCAGTTATCTTCATTACCAGATATAAAGAAAAACTCTGCTAGCCAGTTATCTGTAAACTCTTCATCAGCATCCAGAGCTTGTATTCGCAGTAGTTCTGAACTAAGTGAATTTTCTGAAATACTTGCTGAAAACTGAAATGACAGAAGAATACATCTTAGTGAGTAGTAGAATATAAAAGATAAGAAAACATAGTTGAATGCAAGGACTCTTTTGAATGGCATCCTCTTCACAGCCAATACCAATTTAAGAATAACTCTACTCTGTGAAAATTGTGGTTCTGGTTGTAGATTTGAAGAGCTGTTTTACCTCATGTATTTGTTGACACAGCTTAGAGGAATTATTTGGGTTTTTAGTAAGAAAAAAATGAATAAAGATGATGGGCTTTGAGGATACATGAATAACACTATTTGAGTTCTCTGAATGTAAAAATAATTGGAGTTTTTTTTTAATCAAAATTGTGTGCGCAAACTATAGATATGATTCTGAGCACATTTCAAGGAAACAATCCCTTTAATTCAGTGGAACATTTAAATGAGAATTTATTGTACTAGGTTAGTAAGGACTTTGTTATTTACTGGATTTTTGGGCAGGGTTTTAAAACAGTGATGTCCATTTTAAAATTAAATACTTACAGAGCTTTGAGCAAGAGTTGGGAAGTTGTCGTTGACATCAATAACTTTAACATTACAGCTACAAAGAGATGAAATTCCATCTGCAGCTCCATCCCGGTCTGATGCCTTCACAACAAGAGTGTAGCTACCATGTTGCTAACACAGAAAGAGAAATTAGTGTCCTACAGTGATCTATATGTCTTAGAAATTGTTAATAGTTATATCTTACTGTTATTTACAAATTAATTCATTTAAAAAAACCCACTTTAAAAAAAAAAAGAGAAAAAAGAGAAATACTCCCTTCTTTCTATTTTATTTTTGTCCAAAAAATGTTATTTTATTTTAAAAAAAGGAAATTTTACCTCTCTGTCAAGATAATTTGCTAGATGAAGTTCTCCACTATATTTATTCATAATGAACATCGGTGGACTTGAAGGTTCCTGACTCTCTATCTTGAAGGCAATTTTAGAATTCAAGTGATTAGGTTCGTCTGCATCTGTTGCAATTATTTTCATCACCAATGTGTCTAAGAATAATAATAGCAAAAGAAAATCAGAAATTTTTTTTGTTCCTGTAAACGACTCACCAAGAAAACAATAAATTCCTGGCACATGAAAACAACAGGGTTCTATCTTTTCAGTAATTGCAAGAAAAAAAAAAAACAGTTTATGTTCGTAATGATTATTATGACTGAACTTTAATGACTTCAAAATGCATTACAATCAAGCTCAGGTGTAGTAATGAGGATTTTTCCTGACCCTTTTTAAGTCACGATAGGGCTATACAGAACATTATGTTCTGCATCTGTAGCTACTCACATAAATGTTTGCAGTACTAGATGGGGATTTTGGCAAGGCAGGGGTATAGGGGGACCACCTGTTTTTGTGTGTGTACATGGCAGGATGAGTTTGCAGCAGTACGTCAGAGCAGTTCCCTGTCTTTCCATTCGGGACATAAATAGAAACCTCCCATCTTCTAACAGACCTCAGTGTTACACACCTAGTGCAGATTGCAACGCTTCTGCTGGTAAGAACCATTTTAGTGGTTTAAGTAAGAGTTTATTTAGTAATAATCTACTGCAACCACAGCTTTCAGGTTGCAAATGCAAATATTTAAATTAAGAAAAATGGGGAAAAGCATATTTTATATATCATCACAGGAAAAAAAGAAGTTTTTTTAAGTAGAAGACATGAACCAATTTATTTTCTCACATTTAAAAGAATTTGCATGATGATGCAAACATTCATTTGTGGGAGAAAAGGTGAAAATGTATCACCACCTAATTTTAGATGGCAAGCCTGCTCCAATGGCACTGAGAATCATCTCTTTCCTCCTGCAGTGGCTCTGGGAAACATATGTCCTTGTCTAAGAGGAAGTAGAAGAAACACCCCAGGTTTATACTAACTGTTCTGGCAACCCTGCTTACCATACTACACTCTAAAAGGCATAAAATAATTACTTACTGTCCATACTACATTCTTCAATAGATCCAGTAAATACAGATTGTGAAAATATAGGAGGGTTATCATTTATATCGAGAACTCTGACTCGAAGTTCAAGAGGTGGTTCCAAATCTAAACCCGTCACTGAGTGCTTAGCAAAGCAACGTATCTGGATAAAGAAATTTACTCATTTTAAAACCAAAAAAAAAATGAAGGAAACAAGGCAACAGTTTGAAGCAAATGAATTAGAGCATTTGTCTAATTCTGCTCCCATGCCCTGCCCTGCTTCTTGCAGTCATAATTATAAAGGAAAAAAAAATATATATAATACTTACGACAAATACTGGGGTCACTTCCCTGTCCACTATAGATGTTATATTAATTTCTCCTGTTCTTGGGTTAACAACAAATATTCCATATGGCGCTTGATCTATTCCAACTCCAGAAATGCTATATGTGATTGGATTATTTTCTTCACAGTCTGACCGGATCTACAAAAATAGATAACAATATTTTATGCCAGGTCACTTGGAACATCTGCATTTTTTTTTCTCTCTCTCTCTTTTTTTTTCTTATTCTTACTGCCCTTAAGGAATTCTACATAATTTTCAGTTTCTCTTCCAACTGTTTATCACAAGGTTATCAGCAGAACCAACCGAAGGCAGTGCCACAAACCATAGATTTATTGCAATATCCCCTCTGAATATTTCTCTCAAGTCTTCTGTCAATGAAGCGGAGCTGTTGTGGAAGAGAAACTTGTAAGAATCTTACACTGTGACAGGGCCTTTGTAAGGATCAAGAGAAAGGGTAGGAGAACACCCTGTGTGTGCCATCTCCCCACATGTCCGCACATAACCAGAGTAAGTGTTGCATGTTCCCAGATCTGAAGAGTTTAGGGAGCCTTTGGTCACTCCTCAGCCACTGCACATGTTCATCAGTGTCTCAGGGGGACTGGAAATACGGTACCTTTTATTTTAACCTTCTACATTCCTTATTTGACTACTCTAAGCAAATATACTCTGAAATTTCTCTGGTTTTATCAGCCTATCTTTACAAAATGCCTCCTTGTTGGCAAGCAACAGTTCTACTTTGCTTTCTACTTACTCTGGCAATTGGATTCCTCTTAGAATTATCTTCTCCTTCTCTGCAAGCTGCAGCAAATTTGATCCATTCACGTTTTTGTCTTCTGAAGGTTTTCCATCTTGCAGCTCCATTTTCATCCCATTCTTTTACCTTTGACACAGAACGCCAGTGTCACTATAGCTAGTAATCTCAATATATTTTAAATATATACATTTAGATTTTCCAACAGTAAGAAATAGAAGAAATTTTTATAGACCATTTTTGTTTGTTTATTTGTTTTTATATGAGTCTCCGTCCCAAGCCCAAGATGATACATATATACTTTTAAATTATTCCTAAGCATAAGATATTTGTTGAGATATCTTTAGATATTTGTTGTAAAAGTTCTCCAGAATGTTTATTGAGAGGATGAGCAGATTATTACCTGCAAGTGTTTAATATTTAAACATGTTTTCAATCATCAAGTTAAAAAATATCTTTGACCACTATTTTCCAGTTCATACCTATATGATTACATTTCATTTTACCAGAAAATCAGTTTCCAAATATTTTATTACCTGTACATGAAATCCCGTGCTGAAATCCAAAAGTACCTGAAAGAAAAATAAGATAATGGTATACAAAAATGCAAGACAGAATGCATTGAGTTAAACCTAGCTGCCACACACTGCTATATTGGAAGACGGGAGTAGCATTTTTTTCCTCAAGTTCATTGCAACGGACTAACTAGTCTGTAGTTTAAGGACTTCCATAAATAATGTTGTGCTATTTTTTCCCTATGTCCATCACAGCTTAATTCCCTGAAAGTTAGTTCCTTCAAAATTAATTCTGTCTTTCAAGGCACCTTGATTTTGAGAGCCTGTGCAAACTTCATGTTATATCTGCACAAAATATGTCTTTACACAAATTTTTAGGTTCTAGAATCTCATCTGTTTCAGTAGCAGAGAGAAGTGACTGCAGGTTTTGTTAAAAGAAAGGCATGTCCAGGAAACTAAGCAAAAAGTATTGCTTTATTTTTTAGGCATTTGTGTAGAAAGTTACAGTAAAACCAGAGTATTTCAAAATACTTCAATAGATACTCTAAGCAAAAGGAATAAATCATTCTTTGTCCTGTAACTTCCCACTGAGGTTAAAGAAGTTAAATGTGTGATGGAAAGCCAACTGTAGCCAGTAGACATCTTTTCTTGAAGTTCTTGAAGTTTAGTGGTCTTTGTTTTGAGATCTAGCTGTACAAAAAAAAGCTCAGATGAAATAAATGTTGCAGGATCAGATGCAGTGTGTAATGACCTTAAAATTAAAATAATGGAAAATCATGAATTTCTTGACCACTGTAATTTAAAAGAAAGTACAGTTTTGTTAACCTTATTTCTAAATAAGGTGTGAAGATGAATTCACTTGGTGAATGTATCATAACTTCATAACATCACTTTTGGATATATGATCTGCCTTTATCCACTTCAGACAATAAAGGGTGAAAAATATGGGATTTGCGGGACTCAACATTTGCTTCATTCATCACTGAAAGAAACAAAATGTTTAGATGACTCAGAAAGCCTTGCAGAGTATTTCCTTTCTCACTCATGGTGGCTAACAACTTTAGTTATCAGTTTTCCACAACCCTGTCATCCCTGTTTCCCAGTACTGCTCAGTGACTCACACTGATGATTTGTCTGACGCATTTTATCTGATAGATTTTACATCAAATGTCCTATATGGATAAATTTTTTTGACAGTATATTTTCTGTGACAAGTTATCAGACCTTCCTCACTTCAAATTTTATTATGAAATTCTTATATCAATTTCTTATATCTTCTATTTCAGGTTAAAATGATCTCTTTCCATACAACAGATTAAGGAACGACAGCTTCAACTCTCCTTTTCTCTTAACGCCTTTCCCCCATTAAATTGCTTGTCATAAGATGTCCACTGTCTGCCATTTACAAAACCACTGATCTGTTCTTTCACCCCCCAAAATTCACTGAACTCCCAATCAGTAAATTCTGCTCTAATTAACTAGTGAATGAGGGAGTTTAGACTGTGGATCTAGTATCTTGACTGTAGGTAGTGAAAGGTATAGGACTATTCATCCAATAACTTCTTTTTTTGTTTGTTTGTTTCTTTGAGAAAGTTACTGACATAAAGACATAAATCATTAAGAAGAGTATTCCTCAGGAAAATCATTATCAACTCGAAGACTTAAGTCTTAGACAGAGAACAGATATGTTCAGGTTATGCTAAAAGCATCATTTTGGCTTTTAATCTGAGTGTATGTGTTGGTGACTATGTAAATCTTCAGCTGTAGAATGAGGTTTAAACTCATGTGCAGTTGTGATCTCTGCTATATCAGAGTCCATGTCAACTGGGGTGTTGTTTCACCTCAGTGGGACTTCAGGCCTCTCCTTTATGATCCACCTTGGAGAGAGGAGAAACACAGGAGAGTAAAATGTGCAGATTACTCTCTTGTGAGGAAGGTTAAGTGATGAAGCCAACCAAAAACTGCATTGATTCAGCATCTCTTATCAATTGATCCCAGTAGCAGAACCTCCTTGGGCAAGTACAATGAAATCCTCTCCACCCTTATAGCCCTTTGGGCATGCAAGCAATTGTGTTGACCCAGAAAAGAATGGTATACACCTCTTCATGCAATGTTAGTGAATCTTACATACTGTCTGCATCTTACATCCCTTTCTAATATTTAACAGTGAAACTAATAGCTCACTTCCTGACATGTCACTCTTAGAGTTAACATGCAGAGCAGAAATACTATACTGTGTTGGGGATATAGTAATACTCCTGTGAAATACCAATTACGCCCATAAAGAATTCTTGACTTATGACAGGAATATTCATTAAAGAGCTTGATTTACTGATGACCAATTGGGAACTCTGCTTTCAAACAACGAAAGATATTAATTCTGTATTGACACCAGTAATGGAAATGTTAGGCATTTGTTCTGCAGTGTTGCTGGGAATCATAAATTAAGGCCAAGTATTTACACCCTTGTCCTGTACCAGCTAAGGAAAAACCCTCCTGCTACCTGCTGCCGATGGAAGATCTTTAAAGAAATTCTGACGGTTTGTTCTCAGTGCTATTTATGATAGTAGTGGACAAAGTCCATCTGATGATTTTCATGATTGCAGTCATGTCAGTAGTCAGTAGGTCTATCTCAGTTACTGTTATATTATAGAAACTAAGGCAGACAAACACAAGAAGAGGCCACTGAGTTCGTTAGCTATACCTTAAGTACAATGAAGAGACATTAGTCTAACATGGCCAGGGATATAGTTTCCTTTACCATCCCAACTAACTCTTTCCAATTCTTCTCTAGCATCAGCAGAAAACAGTCTTCTCCTCTCCTTCCAGCTGTCAATTTCAAATATTTTACTACCCTGCAAACCTTGTATTTCTAGTGGCAATTCCAGTGGAGAAGAACATTTTAGCATCAATCTAGCAGCTAATTCTGGCACATTCGAAGATAATGTACAAATTTCCTTTCTAAACTAGTGCCTGAGCTAGTATTCTCCATAGAATCAGTGATTAAACATAATTAAAACAAAGCAGCTGAAAGTGCTGGATGTGCCCTGAGGATCCTGGGTTGGTTAGGAAGGCATCGAGACTAGCTGTTCTTGCTGTTCCAAAAAAAAAAAAAAAAAAAAAAAGGAGTGCG